AAGATCAGAGTGAACTGTGGACCAAGCATGCATATTGATAGCCCCTGAGATGGCACAGCACACTGTCAATAAGCCCTGTCAATCACACATAGAGATTTGGAGGAAGCACCCGGGCTTGCATCCTTTACATTCCAGATGCCTGATTTATTGGGGCTGCTGCTGCGTGCTGTGACCTAAGTGCAGCGTTCTTGCCTTCCTGTCACCCCAGCATGACTTTTCTGTGTGTGCCATATCTTGGCTGGCATGGACTTGCCCCAGCACAACTTCCTGTGATCTTCAATAAATACAGCTATTTTTCCTTGCCTTTGGCGTCTACGCTTTGCAGTCCCCTGATAGTTGTACATGACAGCCTGAACTATGCCTTAAGAGGGAGAAAGAAACAGAATGGTGTCCTCCAGGAAAGAAACAGAATGAGTCCTCCAGGACTCTATCACAGACAACACGTTTCTCTCACTCTCAGAGGAGTTAGTTCTGTTTGATGGCGATTTGCCAAGAAATATAGGCTACTTTCAGACACATCTACAGCTATTTCTGCTGTGAGAGGCAGTCAGGTGGGCCTGTGGCATGGGTGGTAAAATAATCTGCCAAGCTGAGCATAAAGGTTAGAAGAAAAAGTTAAAGAGGAAGTACTCTGCAAAGCACCAGGCAAGACAATAGGCAGGGTCTCATCTGTCTTTAACTCCTTACCCTTCACCTGTGTCTTGCTTTTGTGGGTAGTGACTTCATTCTTGGGCTTCCTCCAATGGCATTTGAGCCAAGGGCATGGGGCATCAATTGAGGACTGCTTGTGAGCGGAATTTCCATAGTCAGAACTTAACAGAACTCCCTGAAGCATAAAGCCACACCCAGGGCCCGCCTGAGGCATGTCTCAGAGCCAAGGATACTGCATATTAAACTGGTAGGTGGATTCTCTACCTCAATACGGAGCCCATAATTTCTGGTGTTTCACTGTGCCATTTCTCAGTGGGACTGGATCATGACCAGTTCCTTGTCTAGAAGAACATCCCTGCCCTCACTCGGTCTGGATCTAGTTGTTTCCTATGTGGCTAGAGAAGGAACTGAGAGGCTTGGTTATTAGCCACCAAGGAAGAAAAGGACAAATTTCCCAGGTACTCCTACCTGCCTAGAGGCTTTCTCTAATTCACTGGAGTTAGATAAGAGCAGAGACTCACTGTAGAGGGCTGGCAGATTCCCAAGTGTTTAACACTAGAGGGTCTAAGGCAGATAGCAGGACATAACATAGGCTGAATCTCAACCTTCCAAATGTCAGCCTAGCTGAGTCGCTAATATATATATATATATATACACACACAGGGCTAGAACTACTCTATCTTTCTGTGCAATCCCTCCCATAGGAGTGGTGCTGCTCACAGTTAGCTGCTTATCTTTACCTTACATTATCTGTGATCTTCTAAAAGGATAAAGACTGGTCCCCACTCATACTTTGTATCCTACATCAAGCATATACCTAATAAATGTTGCCTGAATAAAAGATTAAATAAATGAATGCATGAATGATTAAAGACTCTACATGGAAATCACATGAACAAATAAGATGCTTATTATATCCTTCTTTAAAAATCAGCCAAACAGGGCGTGGAGCATCATAGAGATTTCATTACTTTTGGCACATCTTTAACTGTGTGAATTTGTCAGTGTGCATGAGGCAGAAAGATAGGATGGCTAAAAGCAGTTGGGAAAGGAAGGTAGGACAAGAGCCCAGAGCATCTCAGAAAGGTTCCCAAAAGCCTGCAGGTAAACTTCTCGTGAGAACTCAAGCAGGTTTTTGATAAAAAGACCTACACATGATCCCTGTGGAGGAATATAAAAAGGAACAGTTGTCTTTAAGCATCCAATATTGTGTCTCTCTGGGGCAGCCTACCCTACACTGTTGGCTGTAGTTTTATTTTCATTATTTCCTCCCTGTTTACTTGGCCCAAACTCACTCTGCAGAGCCCATTCTTCCCCTACCTTTCTGTTTTTCTCACTTTTAATAAATGTGAAACTTTGCCACTGTGTATGCTTGTTTTGTCCAGTTCTTTGTCCTGGACAGAAAGGACTTAGAAATCACCACTACATGGAGACTCCAGCACTCCTGACCCTGGTAATATATATATA